TTTCCTCCCGATTTTCTGCAATATCAAATTAACTAATAGTTTTTTCACACAAAAAATGCAATTGTATACCAAAATATTCAAATCAGTAAACAGCATTTAAAATAATAAGTTGAAGCATGATTTTTTACTACAAGATGACATTATCAAAATTGTGTAATTGAATATTCTAACAAAATACAAAATCTAATAAAATATTGCACTTACACTAAATTAAAATAAATAACAAAATAAAAACAAAAATATTTAATGCTAATATTTTATTGCATATATAAAATACATAAAAAATAAATATTTTTAAGAACTAGTTTAATAATCACATTTAAATAATATAAAATCCTTAAATTATTGAAACTTAAATATATTGCATCAAAACAAACGATTTCAGTTCTTTGAATCAAAATCTGCAAAAATAATAACAAATAAAATTCAAATTAAAAACTATATACAGGAATAAATAAAATAAATGTAGTAGCAAATAATATATTAACTTACGTTTTTGTTCGTTTGGTTCTATGAGTCCTGATACAGCCTATATAAACAACATTTATATAATTTTGAAAAATCAAATTTTAATACACATATCTAACAAATAACTTACTGCCATTGACGTGATTGAGGATTTAGAAAATAACCTTTCTGCTTCTTTGAATTTCCTGTTCCTTTTATCATGCTTGGAATTTGAATTACTCGAATTGTTTGTTTTATTATTTGCATTACTTGAACTAATCGATAAATTATTATTGGACACCAAATATCTATCCCACCCACGAATTATATTTCCATATAATTGGGTATCTTCGAGGTATGATCCTATAATTACATTTTATAAGAACAAGGACAATAAATTATAAATTTATTTTTGTTTATAGGTTACCTTCGAAGGCATATATTTGTCTCTCGAGATTTGCTAGAGTTTCCTAAAGAAAAATTTACTTGCTTAGGGCATATAATAATTTGAGATTTTTTTTATGGAATAAAAAAGTTTCTTTACAGAAATATTAATTTTTATTCCAAATTTACTTACAGCTATTTCAACTTTTCGCTTCACCAACTCAGCAAGCTCATTTCTTGCATCAATACTTGGAATTTTATTATTAGCCATAATTTGAGTTAACTCCAAAACTTGAAACGAAATTTGCATGATTTTTGTGTTAAATTTTGTTTCTTAGGGAATTGAAACGTCAGAAAAACGCAAAGTATATTTGTAAAACTTTTTATAGACTTAAAGATCAACTTGTGTGTATTGAATTATATCTATAATGCTATCTTACCTGCTATATTAATAATACTAGTAATTATTTGATTTTATTTATTATTATTTTACATCTGTCAATATACTAATTAAAATGGCGGGATCTGTTTTGTTTTATTTCATAATATGAACGTGCTGTCAGTGACATCTAATGGTGTACGATTGCAATATTGCATAACTGGTTTGTATCTATGATAACTAGGGTTCGAAATACCGGTGCTGCCATAATATTGAAGTTTTAACCATTCGTTATTAACCTACGTAAAAATACTGCAAAAACATGATTATTTCATCCTTACTTATAAAAAATAATAGTATTCCTTTAGTTAGACATTATATTCGACCAAAGTTTGCAGGAGGTGTCAAATTTGGACAAATAACTTATTATCCAAGGTAACCTCAAAAATAACTTAAAAAAATCTCTAACTAATTTTATAATTAAGTAACACAATTTACCTTATCTATTATAGACATCCAGATGAAAAAGATCCTGACTATGAGCCAACAAAATTATTTAGGGTTCAACGGGTCAAACCAGTTAAAGGCACACCGTATTGGGAAAGACGAATCTTGAGAGATTTAGGACTGGTTGATAAGGTATAATTTACATATTATTCAATGATCACTACTTGTAAAACTGATTTTATTACCACAAGTAATTGCATCTATTAATTTTAAAATAACCAAGATTTAATATTAAACGGAAGAGGATTATCATGGTCAAACAACTGTATCTCCTTAATAATTTAAATTTTTTAAATCCTCTCATACACATATTTTAAAATAGTTGAATTTTAATAATATGGAAGTAAGAGATTTTTTTTCTTAATTCTTACACTAGAATACCTCCTTAAATGTTATCAACAATGCTAATTATTTGTTATTACATGTGTTATATAGAATATTATCTTGTAGCAAACGGACATAGCAATAGTAAAAAACATACCAGAAAACAATGCAAGATTATGGACAATCAAGCATTTAATAAAAGTTACGCCTATTGTATTTCCCTATGGAGAACCTACGGAGAAAGATCTTCATGCAACATTTTTGAAAGAAAATGGAGAATGTATAGTTCATAAAGATATTACAATTACTGAAAAACAAGTTCAGATTACAGAGAATTTTAAAAATGATCAAAAGAGATTAGATTCAGATACATTAAAGAAAGATTCTCGGTTGAAATGGTTAAATCCTTGGAACTGAGTTACATTTTATGAAGTTTAACTATTATTTATGGGTAATGTAGATAAAAATTATATTATATTATATGTAACTTATTACTTTCTCAGTGATATTCATATTATCTAGTTGTCATTCAATAAATGCAAATTTATGGTAAAGCTCATAAATGCTGATGTAATTTTTTATACCAAATACAGAAAATAGTATTCCAGTTCTTTTACCTGTACGTGTGTTATATCAACTGTTTTATTTTTTCTTATGATAAACTGGTGCTGCTTCATAATCTTTTAGACCAGTATTATTTTATGAGGTACCAGTATGTGAGGACCAGTATTATTTCAGGGTGAAAACAACAGATAAAATAAACAAGGAGTTGTTGTTTGTGCCGCCTTCCTTGCCCTATTTTGATCTATACTGCTATGTGTAAGTTTTTATCGGAATTTTTAGACCCCTCTGACTATAGTTTTTATTTTATAGCAATCTTACAAAATCGAGAATTCTCGCAATGGGGGACCATTGTCAGATTTTTTGGCTAAAATCGAAGTTGCTCTGATTCGACTTATGTTCAAAAACTAGATTAAATTTGTCATTCCATCTACAATACTCCTGCGCTTTTCTCTTCTTGGTTTTTAAGTTATTAATATATTATCATTACTTAGTCATTAAGTAATTAATATTATTTATTTTCTTTATATATAGTACTTTAAAAATATGTAATTTAATTAATATTAGTCTAACTGACTAATTCTGTTTATTTTATAATTCTTCAAAATTATGCCTGTGATATATTTAAAAATATATTTTGTATTTCGTATGTTTTGTTCTTATTTCCAATATTAAATTTTTTTCAGTTTTTATGGCTGTATTGATTATGTACAAATGTAGAAGTAATACCAGGCATTAATTTACAATATGTACATGTACTGCTATCTATAATCAAAGTTGCGTATTTTAATCGATGTAACGGCAAATCGCCTGGCATAGCGACCTATTTATACTTGCTTATCTATATATAATACTTGTTTATCTATGTTTATCTTGTCTAGACTATTTTACTTGAAGTTCCCAATAAATTTTTGTCTATGAAGTAAAAAAGATCAAAATGTCAATCAGGCAATACTACTCAATAATATTTGTATCAAACGTCAAAAGCAGCCGCAAATAACCGGCTCGCGATCTCATTCCATGTTTTTTATAAAAATAATCTAGTATAATATCATATTCATATTTTTAGAACAGGTAAATATCGTAAACGTCCGATGAAAAATTCGTATGATCTTCATACTTGTATTTATAGAGTTGTTATTTTTAGAAACAGGCTTATGCGTGCTTATTTGAGCTGTTATATATACCTGTGTGGTTATTAATTTTAGGAAAAGATAGCCTTTTTGAAATAAGAAAACATCGATTGTGCAAATGAAGTTAAAGTCTTCTGAAATAATTAAACGTGGTACCTGTATTTTAACTGAAAAGCCATTTGTTTATGCGTTGAATTCTAAATATCGGAAGGAGCGGTGCGATTTCTGTTTTTTAAAGTAAGCATTAAATAAAATCAATTCAATATAATATATATAATCAATTAATTCAATATAATATATATATATATATAACTTATCTATTCATCCACTTATCCATCCATCTAAATCAGCCAAAAGATTCAAATATTTTTGTGAAATTTTTATTTATTTTACAGACATTGTAAAGGTAATTCAAGACCCTAAATGTCTGCAAAATAAATAATTTTTTGATAATTCAGTTCTTGAAAAACCGGTTAATTTTGCATTGGTGTAGATACGAACAAGAATAATTATATACATTTATTACTATTTAATAAATTAATTATCTATATAATTCAACTGTGTTAACATGGTATACTCTGGACAGTTTCATATAATCAGCATTTTTTCACGATTATAAAGATAACCCATTAAGCGGTGCCTTATGTACTTGCAATGGGAAATCTCTCGTACTATCTGTTCCTATTTCATTTTAACTTATTTCATAGACTTTGCATTAGCAAAATCATTTAATTTATTTCATATATAGTGTGTGTTTTCAAAGGATTATAATTATATAAAGTAAGCATTAAATAAGAAGCTTCAGATTTATATACATATGTATATATATATATATATATATATATATATATATATATAATATATATATATTATAATAAATATGAACAAAGCTACACTCTGGTCAGTTTCATATAATCTGCATTATTCCTGATAATAAAGAATACATATGCTTCCAATTCAAACTCATGTACTTACAATGGAAAATCTCTCGTAGTATATTTTCAAATTTTATTTTAACTCAGTTTATATCGTCAAATTAAGAACAATTATTAGTTGATATTTCAGTGCCAAATTCTGCTGAGTTGTTGAGTTTATATGGCCGGGTATGCATATGAATTTCCATGAATTATGAGAGAAGTTTTCTTCAGCTATATCATTCACTTTTTTATTTTTCTAATTCATGGTTAAAAATGAAATACCTGCCTAATGAAATAATTCTAATTTCATTGTATTCTTGTTATTTCATATATAGTGTGTGTTTGCAAAAGATTATAATTTCTAAACATAACACTCATTTAATGTATGTTAAGTATCATTTTTTCCTTATTACTTCAAAGGCTAAACATTATTTTTTATTTTAGAACAAACTTATTAAAATGTACAGGGTGCAATTATGTGTATTATTGTGGAAGGGCTTGCCAAAAGGAGGCTTGGACAATACATAAAATAGAATGCCCTTGCCTTCGAAGGGCAGGTTCACGCATTATACCAAATGCAGCTCGAATGCTGTTAAGAATAATTATAAAGTTAAAGGTAATTAAACTTTACATTTTCAGCCTTGCTGTTACAATAAGTACCTGATTACTCTGAAATGAATAATACAACTGTTTTTACAATGAATGTATTAATAGACATATTTTTTATGGGATTAAAGATTATTTTCCTACATGAGTATAACTTTGTTTGAAACTTTATCATAGGGAAATAACAAATAATTATTTTATCTTATACATATATCATTTATATTTTTACAGCAAAATGGGGAATTTGAAAAAGGCTATTACACAAGTACAAATTATAGAAGGTTTAAAGATTTAATGTCTCGTAAGTACAATTTTGGATATGAATATTTGGCAAATTTTAAATCACAAACTTATTGGGTAATAATTCATTTGTGTTTGTATGATTTATTTGTACAGATTATGCTGAAATAAAGCTAGATTCGAAACGAATGGAGCATTTAGAAAGTTTACAAGCTGTCTTGGAACAATTATTAGTTGATATACCAGTGCCAAATTCTGCTGAGTTGTTGGGTTTATATGGACGGGTTTGTATAAGAATTTTGATAAATATAAATATATAATTTATTGTTTATTTTCCTTATCTAGTCCTTAAATGTTTTGTCAGTGATTCTCAATTTTATAAAATAATTCTGTCAATAAATTATATATTCTATTAATATGATTTTTTTCTGAGTTCAAGTTATCTAATCAGGTTAATTTTTAGTTAACTGTTAATGGTTTCAACATATTGGATGGTGAAATGTGCAGTCTAGGAACTGGTATATACCTAGGCATTTCTATTGTTGACCATTCTTGCACACCAAACGCTGTTGTTGTTTTTGAAGGAACCACTCTTTATATAAGAACATTGCAAGACTTGCCAAGTCTAAATTGGTCAGAGGTAAATAATTCTGATTGAAAATGTGTTGATTTATTACCATCAAGACATATTTCAATTAAGTGATTTGTTGCAGATATTTATTTCATATATAGATTTACTAAATACAACTGAAGCCAGAAGAATTGATCTGAAATCAACATATTATTTTCTGTGTACTTGTTATCATTGTTTGGATGATTCAGAAACAAAACTTATGAATAGTGCATGTTGCATGAATGCATTTTGTGATGAACCTATAGATGCATCATTTTCTGATAAAATTTGCAACAAATGTACAACAAAAGTTTCTGAAGAACATATGCAGACATATCACGAAGTTAAAGAGTTTATCGAAATGAAACTAGAGGAAATGAAGGACATAGCATGTAAAAAATTTGAAACATGGTAATAAAATATAATTATAAATTAACATAAACTTTTATTTTCAGATTTAGATGTATGCAAAATTTGCTTGAAGAAAATGTCAGGTATATTACATCCAAAAAATATTTTGTATGTTAAAATATTGGATATGGCTTTTGAAAGTGCAATTCAAATGTGCTTATGGAACGATGCAATAAGTTATGGAAATCAATTACTGCATGGTTTCAGGTGAATTAGAATAAGAAATTAAAATTCTGAATATTTAAAGCATTATCTGGGAATTTAACAATAATTAGGCTTTGGGGCATTCTTGTGAGTTCAATGTTTTTTTTGTAGATTATATTATGGTAATTTCCATCCACTCTTGGGGTTATTATATTTAAAACTTGGAAAAATATTACTTCTTCAAAATCAGCCAGAGTCTTTAGAAAGGTATATTTTAAAATGCTTTTATTTCATGCTTGAATTCAAAATTAAAATTTAGTATTTACTGACTTGTTTCAGACTTAAAAATGCACAAGAAATCCTTAAAATAACCCATGGCGAGAAACATGAGCTATACAAACACAATTTATTACCCCTATTGGAGCAAGCTTTGAGTGAAAGTCTACCTAATTAAATGGTAAATAAAGAAAACAATAGTTTGTATTTTTATACAATAAAATTTTATAGTTTACCTATAACTTATTACATACTTTTAAATAATATTAATTTTACTAAACATTTAATTCATCAGTTACTGCAGGAAAAGATCACTTTTAACAATATATGTACGAATACCATATAAAAACAGGTGTATGTAAGTCAAATTATGAATTTATTATTAGGTTATTTTTATGCTTTTAGAATTTACTTTTCATTATACAGCTAACGTTTTCCATTGTTAAAGTTGAGAATCCGCAAAGGGGCTTTAAAAGTTGAGTTAGCTTGCTGCTGAATTTGATATGCGAGTGGATGTATTTTGAAGCCATATAATCTGCAATTAAATAAAAGGATTGATGATTATGGCTGTAAAATAGGGAAAAAACTGTTATTTTTACCTTGGTACAAATTGATTTGCTGGCCGTTTTGGTCTATATTCAGGATGAACCATAAATAACATGTGTGGAAAGCCAGAGCCAAAGTAGGCACCATCCGTGTGATGATGTCTTGAACTCTTGGGTACGTAAACATCCATACATTTAGGGCAGTAGGACTTTACCATAGCCTCTCCAGGCACATCAGAAAGACCTTTATAAAAAAAATATGTGAATTAAGTTTCTAAGGACAAAGATTATTTATTACCACTTACCTAATGGCAGCATAGGCTGACTATCGCAGTAAACTCTAGGGCAATATCCAAAGTCTCCAGATTGGTATTTTTCTATCATTTGAGCTATACCTCTATTTGTTAAAATATATCTGGCATGAATTAGACCATATAACATCTCTGCAGCTTGTTCTATTGCATCTGACTGATTTGGATTATCATCTATTTCATCATCTACATAGAGAAAAAAATTATTGTTTAAGAAGACCAATTGTTCAAACTAATGGCTATCTTCTATATCATGACTCATGAGAAAGTTTAAGATTGTTACATCTAAAATATTTACCAGGTTCTAAATCTAATATCATATCCAAGGCTTGTCTATATCGTGGAATTTGCTCATTAAGGCCTGTTAGATTGAATTTATCCTGTATATAGTCTTCATCCACCTACAAAAAGTTTTTTTTTTAATATCTATATTTAGCATTCTTCAATAAATTTTAAGACAAACCTCGCAAAAGAATTCATTTCCTCGTAGACCACAAAACCAAGATATCCATGAGACCTCCTCAGAACTGCTCATTTTCCTATAATAGTAGAGAACTGTCACAGCACCGTTAAAATAATAGTGAAAATGTTAATTCAATTATTGCGAAATGTGCAGATTGCTAAAAAAGAGCTACTTCAAATTTTCCATGTTATTAGAAGGTATATATTGAAATTATAATTTCATTCCAAAAGCAATCATTGCAACTTGGATAATCAGAAACACATTTTATGTATTTTTGGGAATAGCCTTACCTTTTGGTACCTTGGTTAGCCACGCTTAGACTACAATATAAATTGGGTTTATTGTGCGATTTCTATATGCAACAATTTTACTTTGACAATAAAAAATATTTCTTGAAATAAAGCAGAACTACAAACGACAAATAGTTAATTCTAAAGTTAAAGTTGCACACTTGCCACTTCTCACCAAAGAACACATCAAAGAAGAGATGGTAAACTTAACTGATTTTGAGTGAAATGGAATAAGCGTAACTAATGCATGTAAAATGCATTATGATTTTTAGGTAATAACCATTGATAAAAATATATTATTGATATAATTGTGGCGTTCTTTTATTTTAAATACTTGTTTTGTTTGATGAAAGGTAATAAATAGTGCTAAATATGCTAAAAATGGATATTTAATAAATATAATGCAGCATAACTCTAAGTATAAGTAATTGAATAATTAAAATCATTTTATTCAAATATATATATAAATATAACAAGTCCATGATAAATGAGGAAAAAGATTTTACACCAAGCTTTACCTGTTTATGCCTTTGTTGTTTCTGAAATAAATTCACGATGGCAAGACGACGAATGTTATTATAAGTGTGGTACCACCGGATACGCAAATTCTCCATAGCGTCGTAGCGTTCTCCTTGTCTAATTGTCGCCATTTCATATGTATCTCCGTTTCATATTTATCTAATATGTACAAGCCGAATCGCCATTAAAGCGAGACAAAAGATTGTTTTACTGTGTATTTTTGACATTACAATTAAGGTAAGCGATATTTATCTATTACTAATAAATAGAAATGTCAAGTGTTTCTATTTAATCCATATTGGACTTAAATCTTGAGTTATTTAATAGTTTTGAGTCATTTGTCAAAGCATCGTAGCCGCAGCTATTCTATTTATGCGTTATCCCTTTCTTGCTCAACAATTTCCCCTTAGAACATATTTCTAAAGTACGTTTTGACAAAGGAAATATATATTTCCTTTACATTCTCTCATGTTTTATCGCGGTCTCGCTCAATATTTATGTTTGAGCTTTATTGCCTATTTTCATGATTTTTTAGGAAGAAACAATCGTTCTTTGTTCAATAAACAAAATATTGTGTTCTTTTGTAATATCGATGTGTTTCTTAAATATCATTCTATATTATTAAATATTTATATTTTTTTAAACATGTTTGACACAACTATGCATTATTATTTTAGCCTAAACAGCCTAGATAAATTAATTATTACAAACATAACATGAAGTAAATTCTTTTCTAATACTTTTTTTAGAAGTTTTTCTTAAAAAGTTTGTTCCTTGTTACAAGGTAAAATATTTTATTTTGGCAGGTAACCATAATATATTTTGCAGTTTTTAATTATGTATGATTTTATTAATAGTGAGTGAATAATTATTTTTATTTATGTTGTCTCAAATTTTAAATGTTTGATATTCTAAGTTATGCCTTTGAATCAAATATTAGTTCTTTGCTGTTTAATAAACTTGTTTTTTGAGTCCCAATAATTAGTTAAATCCTTCGGTCTCAAGAATATTGTTCATTCAGTTATTTTTAGAAGTTTTTCTTAATAACTTTGTTCGTTGTTATAAGGTAAAATATTTTATTTTGACAGGTAACCATAATATATTTTGCAGTTTATAATGATATATAATTTTAGTAATAGTGAGTGAATAATTATTTGTATTTATGCTCTCAAATTTTAAATGTTTGATATTCTAAGTTATGCTTTTGAATCAAATATTAGTTTTTTTGCTTTATAATAAACATGTTTTTTGAGTGCCAATAATTAGTTAAATCCTTTTGGTCTCAAGAATATTGTTCATTCAGTTATTTTTAGAAGTTTTTCTTAATAATTTTGTTCCTTGTTACAAGGTAAGATATTTTATTTTGACGGGTAACCATAATATATTTTGCAGTTTATAATAATACATATTATTTTAGTAATAGTGAGTGAATAATTATTTGTATTTATGCTGTCTCAACTTTTAAATGTTTGATATTCTAAGTTATGCTTTTGAATCAAATATTAGTTCTTTTGCTTTTTAATAAACCTGTTTTTTGAGTCCCAAGAATTAGTTAAATCCTTTTGATCTCAAGAATATTGTTCATTCAGTTATTTATTGTTTCTTGATATTTGTTAAATAAATATTTTATTCACCTCCACTTTCTTGATAGTATAATATTTATCTTGTAAAGTATTTCTTCTTTGTTCAATTTCAAAATTATTAATTAGTCACTATTTATATAGGATCGAAGTTGAAAATTTCTTGCAATGTTTACTACTTCAAATGCCTTACAAAATGCTGGAGGAACGACACCAACTTTGCAATATCAGCAAGCTGACATGGGCCAGAAGCCCCAAGTTAAAACGATTGATAATACTCAAATAAAAATAAGTCAACATCAACAGGTATGATTCATTCGACTTAAGGTGGTATTTTAGTGTAGTGGCATGAATTTAGTGAAAGTTATATTTAAATCATAAAAAAGACCAATAATTTTTATGCTATTATCTTTTTTATAATTTCTTTATCAATGTTACAAGAATACAGAATAAACTTAAAACAAAATAGAGATAATAATTGAAAACTTTAGCCATTGTTGTTGAAGTGGAAAGTTGCAAAAAAGATTATTAATATAGAATGATGTCAATTGGTATATACTTTGGATTAAGTTTAAGAATAGGTTTTTGACAAAATGGTGACTGAAAAAGAAAGGATCAATTTTTTATCTCTTCTTTGAGTCTCTCGATTTTTTTCAAAAAATAGTAAGTATTAAAATACTGAGATGAGGCTAGTATGTGCCTGAGGGAAGTCTGTAAAGAAGATTCTCCAAAAATTTTAAGTAAATCACGTAGAACTTGCAAAATTGTGGGCATTGTATTGAAAAAGACAATTTTGGGAAAAGGAAACAAAAGAGATTATCATGTTCAAACAGCTGTATCTCCGAAGATAACATAAATTTTCAAAAATCTTCTGGTACACATATTCTTAAATGGTTAAACTTTGGAAATAAAAATAAAAAAACTATTTTCTTGAATTTCTACAATAGAAATTTAAGTTTTCCTTAAATTATTTCAACACTCAAAATAATAGATTTTTTAAGAAATGTATAAAATATTCTAAATATATTTAGAATAATATTTTAATTTGATTTAATAAGAGGATAAGTTTAGTATTGATAGATAGAAAACTTAAAATATTTTACTCAATGTAAATTCTTTTTTACAGCAAGTACACATATTCTTAAATATGATAGAAGATAAAAATTAAAAAAAAATATTTTCTTGAATTTCTACACTAGACATTCAAGTTTTTGTTAAATTATTTCAACACTCAAAATAATAATCTAAGAATTTTTAAGAAATGTATAAAATATTCTAAATATATTTAAAATAATATATTAATATCATTTAATAAGATGATAAGTTTAGTATTGATAGATTGTAAACTTAAAATATTTTACTAACTTTTAATTCTTCTTTTATAGCAAGTTCAACAAGAGTTTCCAACATTCTGTTACACCAATGTAAATATGATTCAAAAATTGACACCAGCCTCCCAGGCACACACCAGCACTGTAAATTTAGCTCAATTGACTGATGATAATAAAACCTGTTATATTGCACAACCGTTCGGTTATAACTATGCTTTAGTTAACCAAATGCAGTTGGCTCAGAATGGGGTAACCGGAGTTACCATTGATGGAAGAATACCGAATACAATATCTAATATAAGTTTTAAATGTGACGTTTGTGGTTTAATGTTTGCACATTTAACTCTTTTGAATCATCACAAGAGAATTCATAATCAGGATCAAGATTCTGATGGAAATATTACTGTTGTTGCCCAGGCTCAAAATTTAGTATCTGCACAAAACTTGGTGCAAGATGGACAGAGTTTGGGAACATTACAAGGTAATAATAGTAAAGGATATTTTTTATTTTTATGGGGATAAACTATTTTAAATTCACATATTATTTTGTTGTGACTTTGCATTCAAATAGGCATCAGTTATTATTAATAATTGATTCATTATTAACTTCCCGTAGGGTAAGTTATTGTAATGGGCCGAAAATCGGAATTGAAAATTTTTACATTTCTCGACGTTTTGAAGGTTTCTGAACGTTTTGGCATACCTCAGAAAAAATGGATGTGTGTGTGTGTGTGTGTGTGTGTATGTATGTATGGATACAAATTTTCGCCCACGTTTTCGGGCGTACGGATTAACCGATTTGAATAATTTAAAAAACATTCGATTCCTATTGATAAGGAGAAGAGCTGATTAGTTTTTGACAAAGGCAGGTCCAGCAGTTACGGAGATAAGGAGCAAAGAGTGCAGAAAATAGAAATCGAGTTTTTGAGAGAACAGAGCATCCGATTTGAATGATCTAAAAAACATTCGATTAGTAATGATTGGGAGAAGGGGTTATTAGTTTTTCGCAAAGGCAGGCCCAGCCATTTCGGAGATACAGAGCTAAATGTACAAAAAATGGCAGTTTTTGAGAGAATTAAGCGTCCGATTCAATTGATTCAAAGAACTTTCTGCTTGTCTTAACAAAATAATTGATTTTGGAAAAAAAAAATTCTGTTCCATTTTTTTTTTTTTTTTTTTTTTAAATTTTTTAATTTTTTTGTATATCGAAAATAATTCAGATTTTATTTTTAATTCTGACTATAGTTCTAATATACTTTAAACAAATAATTTCAACTCTGCAATTTAGTTTATAGAATTCTTCTAAATATTAGACAATGTTACAATACTTTTATTGTATTTATAATAATCTATTTGAAAACATTCAGTATTCCTTCAACATTTCGTTACGGTACGGGAAGTTCCAGCAATTTGCCTTAAGGCACGATGCCACCCACCCCACTAGTTTTTTTTATTTATTATAATAAATTTGTATGCATCTATCATAAACAAAGTAACTGCACAAGTTCTTAAAATACATACAATACTTAAAATAAATACAATATTTTTATTATTATTGCATTCAAATGCACATTTGTAAAATTATTAGTAAGTGTGTATAATTAATGCTTAAAAACTATATATTTTACAGGAGCCATACAAATTGTGGCCACAGAAACATTAGAACCGGCTACAAGCCAAGCGATGCAACAACAAGAACAACAATTGGCAATCACAAAATCAACTATGGTTACAATAGATAAAAACCAAAAATGTATTACATGTGGTGGACCAATCATAATTAATCCAAAACGTAAAGGACCGAAATTGATTAGATGTGAAACTTGTATTAATAATGATAATGTTTCTCATGTTAGAGGTAATTACTTTTATCAATATTGTTAATTTCAATTTATTTTTCAAATAATAGTAATAATTACATATTTTTTTACACATTATCATTATATATGAGGGTATAATAGATTTAAAAAGAAATAATTTCTGATGAATAATTATTGAATTTAGAACTAGCATTTATTGTCAATAACACATAATATTAAACAACAATTAAGTAATATTAGTAATTCATTTTTTATCATGTATTACTATTTTTAGCTGCAACACAAATTTTTGTTGCCCCTGATGGTGATGTTAAATTTGAAATGACTGAAATAACAAATCAAGGTCAGCAGCAACAGCAACAGCAGCAGCAGCAGCAACAACAGGATGGTCAAACAATGGACAATCTCGGGACACAAAATGTTATACCTCTTGGACAAAAACCATTACCGGGTAAGAAAACCAATTACAGATTTTATATGAAATGTAAAATGAAATCTAAATGTTCTTTTTTATTTTTTGATGATAATTTATTGATTGATTTTATATCTATTAAAGGACATCATCCTGTTAAGAAAAGGAATATTGCTTCAGTTACAAAATGTCACAAATGCAATGGCTCAGGAATTATTTTTATAGGTGGTAATAAAATAAACTGCAAAATGCGAAGTAATTATTCTGAAATAAACAAGAAACAAATATTATATTAATTGTAATATTCTAATAATAACTATTTTTATTTTAGTGCTGAGAAACCTTTTCATTGCAATATTTGTGGAGGTTCATTTTCTAGATATTCTAGTTTGTGGTCTCATAAAAAATTACATAGTGGAGAAAAGAATTTCAAATGTACAATTTGCGGATTGGCTTTTGCTAAAGCAGTTTATCTTAAGAATCATTCAAGAATTCATACAGGAGAGAAACCATATAGGTAAAAACAATGCATTTAAGTTTATAAGTCGTATTAAATACAGTTATACTAAAATTCTATCTAATTTCAGATGCAATACATGCGGTATGCAGTTTTCACAATCACCACATTTGAAAAATCATGAACGTACACATAGTGGTGAAAAACCATATGTTTGCGAGGTAATTAGTTGTATGACATTAAAACCAAACTCAGCGAAGTTGTAGCATATAATTCAATAGATTTCAATAGATTTCTATAAAATACATTTTCTATAATTTAGATTTTTGGATTTGGCTGTTAAATACTAAATTTATCTAATATAATATTTTCATTGCAGGTTTGTGATAAAGGATTTGCAAGACATGCAACACTCTGGAATCATAGGCGAATTCATACAGGAGAAAAACCTTATAAATGTGATATATGCGGCTCTGCATTCAGCCAAGCTGCTCACTTGAAAAATCATGCAAAGGTTTGTGTCAATTTTTAATTTAATTATTATTTCTGACTATTGATAATTAAAGTGTAATAATATAATGAATATTTCCTATTATTATTAATTACAGGTTCATTCTGGAGAGAAACCCTTCAAATGTGATATATGTTCTGCTGCATTTGCTGATAGATTTGCATTAAAACGACACAGAGGCATTCATGAAAAATATGGTAAGGGATATTAATGTTTTTTTAAAAGTATTATCTTTATTTGTTTATATTTATTTTAATTTTATTACTTGTATAGGTCAAACAGCTCCAAGACAACCTGCTCAACCACCACAGATAGTTATTTTAAAACAGGAGGAACAAGATCAGCAGCAACAGCAGCAGCAGCAGCAACAACAACAACAGCAGCAACAACAGCAGCAGCAACAACAACAACAACAGCAGCAGCAGCAACAGCAAGAAGAGGAAAAAATCCATGAAGTTGTCATAACAATGTAGATTGTTTAAAACTTCTCCAGGAATTTCCTTGTTTGACAATATCACATTTCAGGCTTGTATGACTTGAATAATAAGCAATTTATAGACTGGATTAACTAATTTTATATTATTATATAATTTAGTTATGTTAAGTTAAATAGTTGAATGACTATTAGAACACAAACGCCTGCAAAGTGTATAAACTATATTAAAGCTTAATTATATATATTTATATATATTTGAATAATAACTAAGTTTACTGTTTATAATTTATATTTTATAGAAGTAAGTTGCCACTAGTTTTTCATTAGTACTAAAAATAGAAATAAGTTGTTCTTCAAACAAGAGATAAAACACTAATTACTATGTAAATATTTTATAAAAAGATTTAAAGGTGATATTTATTTCATAGTTGTAGAAATATGAAGTAAAGCGCTCTCCTTGCTGTAAAATTAAGTATTCAACTACCATTAATTATAGATAGTAGAGAAATCACATTCCACTTTTTGTACATACAGACTTAGGATTATCAACATGATTGATTCTATTTTATCCATCTTGATCTTGAATAGATATCTTGATCTGTTTTTATAATCATATTATTATTATTTTAATGAAAAATAATGTGCAGCTTGCATATTATTTTGACTTTAGTTATTTATTGTGCTGAAAATACACAGCTATATAAAAATTTGAAATTTGATATAAGAATAAAAATGTTAATATGTATGCGCTGAGAAAAAAAATAAATATTGGTGGAAATGGAAATTAAAGAACTTTTCTTGAATTAATTTCAGAAACTTAATTTAGGCTCAAGAGAAACTATCAGTAAATTATTTTTGTCTCTTATAAATGATTTGGCATACATTTAACCAGCATATGGTTTTTACAGTGGTAGCATTATCAGTTAAACTTTTCAATTATTTGTGTAATTCAACTTTTATTACAGATACTTCTGCTCAAATTATTTTTAACATGCACATTTGCACATGTAGGAATACTAAAATTAAACTTACCATTAGATCAAGATGATTATTTGGTCTCAAGCATTCAAGCTTCAGCCATCATGGAACTCTTAGGTATATTGAATATTTTATTGTTAACCATTAACATTTTGTATACTTTATCTAATGATGTAGTTCATTATTTAATTCATATTAGTAATACTATAATTTAATATTTATTATTACAACACAATCTTTTCCATTATAAGGAGATACCAAGAATCCAGAGCAACATGCCTATCTAGGTTGTTTTGAGAATCTTCTGAGTTCAGATTCAGATTCTTACAAGTGGACCACCTCGAACGCAGATTAGACTTTTTACGGTTTCACACACCAGTTCACCAGCTTATTTTTCTGTCAACAGCTTGCAAAGGCAATAAATGATAAATATTCCGAAATATTTGACCGAAAATATTGTAATGATCTACAAACGGAGTTGGTTGTTGATGTGAGAAGACAGTGTAAATGCTTAAATAGTAGTTTTTGTTATATATGATGGGTTTTATATAGACTCAGTGAAGAGTGTATAATCTTTTATACAACTTATGATATTCAATAGATGTGCATTATTGAGATTTAAATGGTATATGATAGTAATTAAATTAATTTATTATTATTGTTAAGACCAGAAGTACCAATATGTTTTAACAAGTTGTACATACAGTTCTAATCAGATAAACTCTAATTTAAACTCAGAATGTGTGTGATTAAAGAGAGTGCTTCATTTTTGTAAAATCAAATGTACCTATATAATTTTAATTACAAGCTTTTACTTATTTTTGTTAGACTTATATACTGTTTTTTTATTTGAGATCCATATTTATTTTATATTACATACTGACAAATTATTTATTAAATAATTATTTATCAAAGCAAGAAAAAATATATTCTAATTGCTAATTTACAAGTTAAGTACATCTTATTGTGTATTATAATAGTAATATGTATTTAACAGACATCTTGAAATTGTGTTAGTCCAATCTATTATTGTGAAGTGTGATAATGATATCAAATTATTATAAATTAATTATATCTTTCAAATGTATTTCATGTATATGTATAGGATAACATATATTAGTAGCTTAGATGATAAATTGTTTAATGTTTTTACATAAATACAAGTATAATTAATTTAGTTTGATTCTTTTATTACAAAATTTATGTGCATTTTATTGAATATTTCAGATTGCTTTTAGCAAACAATAATTAATAGCCATGTTCAAATATCAATTTTTATTTAATTTATAATAATTTATCCCTTTTATTGATTTAACACATATATACGATTACATTTTGCATATTTAGTAGCTCAATTACAATAATATTAATAAGTAACAATAAGTTACATTTATCATTTACATAACAATAAGTTACATTTTTCATTTAACTTAATATTCAAAATTATTACCCCTAACGTTTTATCAGACGGCCCTGCATAATACTGACTTTATTTCATTTGCGGATTTGTGACTGTTCTCCTTGTAGAATGAATCAATTTCAGTATATAAATTCTTCATTGCCATACAAAATCTCGTCGCAAATCCATTCGATGTATAGGAGAACAGACGCTATTTTGTATTTCACAAACCCGCTCATACTGCTCAGGGCCGCCTGCTGAATTGTTAGTGGTAATTATATGAATATATTTATAAGGTAAAAATGCATTCTGTTGTTTTGAGATAAAAACAGCTGTACCAATTTCATAAAAATCTTTCATAAAGGACTCGTACTGATTAGTTGTACAAAAACGTGCAAAATGTTTTGTTCACGTTTTAGCCAAAAATCTTGAACCGTGCTGATTGGTATTTGGATTGGCTATCGGGCCGTTTCTTTGTAATTAATTGAACAATAAGAAACACAATTCATTAATAGTTAGAGTAGTGAGCAAGTGATTTTACTATAATAATGTATTAAGGACTTTGAAAAATAATTTACATGTTTCAAGTAGTATAAAATGTGGCTCTGTTTTGACAGCTCCAATAGCAACATGGCGGACAATTCCTATAACATTCATATAAATTGGGCATTTTCATACGAATTGTGCTCCGAATGTATTAGGAGAACAGACGCATTTTAATTGAAATTTTACTAGTATTCTGCAGAGCCGCTTGCTGAATTGTCAGAGGTATATATTTTGAATAATTATTTGAAATAAAAATGCATGTTATTGTTTTGGGTTATTTTAATACGTAGTGGTGACTGGAATGTTGTTTTAACATTAATATTATTGTAATTGAGCTATTAAACATAGAAAAAACTGTACATTTACACAATATATACGATAATTGCAAAATTTAGGTGTTTGTGAACAATATGGGGAAAAGAATAGATTGAGTGATTGAGTAAAGCACAGAATAAATTTCATTTATTTTGCTAGTAGTTAGCAATTTTATTCGTAGCAGTAGACAAGGTGTATCTTCATTTCTTTTGATCTTTTTGAAATACAAGACAATGATTAATAGTTAAATTAGTTGTTTTGATTGAAATACCATGACTCTTATTGAAGTTTTCATACGAAGAATATGTATGCTTCAATAAACCTTTCTGAAAATGCGTAGGTGGTGAGTTTATGTTTATATATTTCATTATATAATGAGCTATAAACTGCTGATTACATGTAAATGTATTTTTGTTGCAGTTTTCATAAATTGTTGAGAGAGTTATATATTTGTTCTATAATATATGGTGAATACTGATATGTCATCTCATCTTTTCTTATCTATACTCTCCTTTTATCTATGTGTCATCCGTCGGTCTATTTTAAAATATATTAAAAGTTGTTAAAATGCGGGCCTGGTTTATTCGTTTGACAGCTCTAAAAACATGGCGCTGACAAAACATGACAGTTGTGTAGTGTGTTTGATTGATGGAAAGTTGAAAAACTATTTAAATGTAATTTAGTATTAATAGTTTAGTGTTAATAAAATATGATTTGAATTTCTGATTAATTTTTTGAACGAAAAATTGCAAACCTTGATGTAACCATAAAGTTTAAAATTCGTGCTTTTGACTTTGTCTCGATTTTTAGGTTATGTATAAAAACGTGCTTTAGAATTAAAAGTGCTTTATAAATATTTATTTGGTAAGATTTTAATTAATTGATTCATCTCACTTTTTTAATAATTCATTAGCTTACATATATAAAACTACATGTAGTAAAAACAAGTGATAATAAATATCTTTTGCAATATTGAAGAAGTGTTTAACCTATAATCATTACAACCTAGCTTTTCATGATAATTCATTATAATTATCAATTACAGGCCTTTTTAAAATCTTTTTTTTTATCTATTTTTCATAGCAAACTATACAAAGTACATTCAGCTATATATTGTTACAGGTATATATTATTTGACTGCGTCTAAATCTAATCAATTTTTTAATCAAATGCTATTTTCACAGACAAACAAATGTATCCTTTGAAATATATTCATATATACAATTGTGAAATATGTCCTACATATTCTTCGAAAGGCTCTAATATTTCTACAGAATATCTGTCTTTTATCAATTTATATGTAATGAATGAAGATATTTAATATAAAAAGTGTGTAAAGCATTTACTTGGGCTATTGCAAAATATCAAATAAACACATGAAAGCAAAAGTGAGAAGTAGTTAGAAATGATTTCCAAACGTTCCCCACCTCGAGCAGGATTGATCAAAGTAAGTTGAAAGCATTTTTCTTACAAAGCGAGTTGAAAAATACTGAAGTCGTATTAAGGTAGCTATTATAGTCAATGAATAATAGATGGGTAATGCTTTAAAGAACTAAGATTTAGTTCATGTGCAATTTGTTCAGACATACTACTGTTTTTTCATTACATTCGAACTAGATTTATTGAGTGGACTTGTTAGTTATTAAAACATTGTTTAAGTAATTTTGAATTCTGATTTATTACAAACATAATATATTCAATATTAAATAACAAAATACACATGGAGTCAAGATGTACAATAATTTTTAATGATAAAACAAATATTAATATAGTTAGTAAATATCATAATCACATAGCAAAAATAAATTAAAATTAATTTCAAAGAAAACACTATATAAACAAAAATGCAGAGATGCATTCACATTAATATTATGAGTATTTATATCATATCACAGCTTTTTGAAATCTATCCATAAACCACCCTTGGCTCTCAAAGTAAACGACTTGCTGTCGAACACTAGT